CCGGGGAGCACTGCCACACGGGGGGAGCTACCAGCTGCGGCAGCAGCGCGAGCGCCATGGCGGCGCGCGGAGGGAGGGGGGGACAAGGCAAAGGGGCGGGGAGGGGGAGGGGAGGAGGACCACCCCGCCTGTAGGGAAATCCCCGCAGGCGGGGCGACAACCCAGGCGTCTGGCGTCAGTGGGAGCTGGAGGCGGGTGACCCGTGCTTTGTATAGCTGCGGTCACCTACGATCCGCCCGCATCATCATGTGGGTAGGGTCGGGCTGCGGGCGCCCAACCTGCAGCTGACCAGCAGGGGGCTGCCGAGCGGGCGCGCTGCCCGCACCATAACTGCGGCATGAACCGCGGGGGCACGCGCTGCTGGGGTGGACAGCATGTGGCGGGTCAACGGTGCGGACTCTTGCTGAGGAATGGCAGCCGAAGCGGTAGAGAGCCGTGCGCTGCTGGGGGGTGGACAGTGCGCGGCCGATCAAAGGGCACTTAGGCGGTGCAAAATCCTGTGTGAAAGATCTCAACTGAAAGGGCATGCGTCACGCGCCGTCGGGGTGTACGGCACGTGGTGCCTAGGGGCGTCAGGCCGGTGTCATGGGCGGTGAGGAGGCTGCAACTGATACGACTGGGTGCCCCGCGCTGTCAGGGTGGACGGTGCGCTGCGGGTCAGCGTGCGCAAATACATGGCAGCTTGGATGCGCTGGAGCCCCAAAGAATGCGGCCACAGGCCACGTACTGGCCTGGGGGGGAGGTCTGAGCTGAGAAGGGGCGGCGGTTTGGTTGGATCCCCCGCCAGTGAACCTGGTGTTCTGGGGGGGGGGAACTGGGGGAGACTGGTGGTGGGCGAGCAATGTTGGCTGTCCTGGGGTGGCTGCGGTGCCGAGGCCTCAGAGGCTGGGCAGGCCTGTCGGGTCGGGGCGGCGTGCTTTCGACTGCTCGTTGTTGGGCCAAGGGGGGTCGGCATGTCTCCTGCCTTTCCCGACCGAGTCGTGGCCTTTTCGTTTTCCCAGGCCGTTGTCTCGCTGCTGTTCGTTGCGCTGCAGCTGGCGTTCCCAGACAGCCTTCCAGTCCATCTGGGCCCCCACGCATTCTGCAGACCCTGCGGATGTCGAAGCTTTCGCGGTACAGGTCGTTCACGAGCTCTTCGCCGAAGGCGTCGTGTCCCTCGGGGTGTTGTAGGTCCCTTTCCCTGGTGCCCGGGTGTCTCTGGCGTCGCGCAGAGGGCGTTCCATCCTTCGACGAAGAACGCGCTGCAGCCCCACTTTAGCCCGTTGACGACTTCAGGCCCAGTTTCGCGGGCGCTAGTTTTGCGATTCCACGCCTGGCACCAGGTGCTCATCCGTCGGGCCCGAATGTGTAGCGTGTCGCTGGGGTCTTCGTGGCGGGCATAGCCAGGAGATCGGCCCTCGGAGCCCTGTGCCATTCGCGCGCATTCGTGCCGGCGCGAACCGGGCCATCTGTTGAGGGGGAGGTTCCTCCCCTGTGGTAGTTGGCCCAGGGCTTGGCAGGGCCTGTGGAACACGCGAGGGCCTATTTTCCGCGGCGGAAGGAGGGGCAATGGCAGCAGCGCCGGGCGACGAACACTGTACAAATCTAGTGCCCCTGGCCAAGCCAGCATTGCGCCGCCCTCCTGGCTCAGCCACAAGGGCATACACACCGCCCCTAGCACAGCACTGGCTTTGGCCAGAAGCAGCGGATATGGATGCGCCCGGTCACCAGACGGAAATGGCCGCGGCAAATCAGGCCACCAGTAACAGCATAGGCACCATCTGAAAACCCCGAACGGCAAGTTGTTGCAATATGATCAGAAGGCACAAGATGCTGCGCCAAAGAATGCGCCCACAGGTTGCACCCATCGGTTGCGCCATGTGTTTCGCAATATAAATGCGCCATAGGTTGCGCCCTAAGCTGCACCCATTAAGCGTGCCGTAGATTGCGCGATAGGTTTCGCCACAGGTTGCGCCGTATGGTTGCTCCACAGGCTGCACCATTCCATGCTTGCGAACACGAAAGCATGCCTATCAACACCACGACAAGCTTGCTAACACAGCAATCACAGCGGCAGGAAGAGCAGCAAAGGTTGCAGCAATCGGACCACCAAGAGGAGCAGCCAGAGCAGCAGCACGAGGCAAGAGGAGCAACATCACGAGCAGGAGGAGCACCAGGGAGGAACAATGGCAAGAGGAACAACATGAGGACCAACAAGAACAACAGCAGGACCTGCAAAATAAGCACCGTAGGAGGAGAATGAGCACCAAAGGAAGAGCAGGAGGAGCACCGGAGCAGCAGCAAGAGCAGCAAGAGCAGCAGGAACAGCATAAGGAACAACAGAAGCAATTCCGCATTCCCGGCGTTCCTGGAATTCCCAGCGAACTGGATGCGTGCGAGTACCACAGCATGCTTGGAAGGTCCAGATCACGCCTGTCAACACCACAACACGCATGTGAACATAGCGCCATACCTGAAGGGAAACCGGTACCACCCACGCATACATTCGTCACCGCTACGCCGGGCGGAAAAGGAGGGCGACCCGCGTCACGGACATTACGGGTTCAACCAGAAAAAAAACACTCTCCGCGAAAGAGCGGCCCAAGAGGGAGGCCGCCAATAATCAAAGCACCATCGGTTCCGAAAAACAAACAAAAAAATCTGACCACGATGCCGCAACACGAAAACACAGCCTCAAGAGACCCCAAGACCATGCGCAAATCTGCCAGGGGGGGCGTCGGTGAGACGCTGGAGGCATCTTCGATACATGGGAAATATCCCGAATTCGAGGCTCTTGCGTTGGAGAATATCCGGGCCCCGCCACGATCAAGATTGCACGCACTCAGCGACTCGCGGAACGTTAGGCCGAATCAAGTCCGCTGTGGTACAAAAGTCGCCGAATCGCACCAGCAGAGTAACCAGCATGCTAGTCGCATAATCAATCACACATGCCATCAAAGAAGACGACAGGCTCATCTCTCGCCGTCCTCATATAACCTAACCAATACCTCCTTTTTGCGCCTGACGATGTCAACGATGTCACGTGCAATCTGGCAACAATAGGAGTCCATTGGCAAGTCATTCGTATCAGTGCCAAAAGGGTTTTCGATCTCCACCGCAAGATTTTCCAAGCCCATCACGACATAACAATAGAATGCCACAAATAACACAGTAAACCATCCGACATTGACGGTCAAGAAAAAAGGTATTGCCAAGCTGTATAAAACGATTGCAGTGCGCACATGCGTGATGTAAGCGAAAGGGATCTGCGTATCTAGCACGCGTTCCATGGTTGCCAGCGCCGTGCTGAGGACTTTGAAGTTTGACTCCATCACCCCCTGGAAAGATGTAATAGACTTCGATTCAATGCAGAAATCCAGAATGCCCCGCATCACCTCGAGAGCTGGCAATGGATGACAAACCTTCTTGAACTGAACGGTCAAGGATGGGTCTGTCTCGATCTTCTGTTGCAACTCGCCGCCATCGAAGCTGATCTTTAAATACTCAAGACCTTTTGGTGTATGAGTACCCCATCCTTACCTCCTCATCCTTTCTGTGGGCGCACGAGGTGGGGTGAAGAAGCTGGGATTGAAAGACAAACACCCTGGCCATTTGGCGCTCTGAAAGAAAACGGGAGCAAGAGGAGGGGAACACAAGAAAAGAAGAGGTGGACAAGAGGTATGTGTTTGACAGAAAGAGAAGCTCAAGGCGAAGGGAGGGAAAGACGCTCATATGTACATATATACACTCATACATACATACTTACAGACAGACAGAGACATCTCTATATATGTGTATATATATATGTGTTCGTGCGTACGTACATACACACATAATTATGTATACATGCGTGGGTATTGAATCCAACGTTCGGCGCGGCATCCATGCTTGCTTTCAACTTTGGCGATGAATCATAGACGTGCTTTGTCCAATACGTGGCGTTCAGATAAAACTAAATCCGGTAACGCTTCACAGAAACCGAAACCCGTCCCAGACCAGCTGGTGTCAGAAGTGGACGAACGAGATCATCACACAAGTCTTCCTCTCGCAGCCAAAAGCGCAAAGATAGTACGAAAACAAGTAGATAGCGCACCAATGCGCAAGCAGCATCAAAATCCTTCACGTACACCATCGACTGCATTGCAAGCTCCCTGGACGCTGTGTTGACATTCACCCATGAAGTCCTTGCTTGTGACCACTTCTGGTACGATGTCTGCGTTCGGAAAACAACTAGAAACATCAGTCCCACAGAAATCAAAATCAACGGGATTGGCTGCATGTCCTCGTACACTGCTATGTCGGGAGGAAATCCATCTTCGTGGCCAACGATCTCCTGAAGCGATTACTTTACTCACCCGAGTGTTTCTGAAACCGATTCTCGGAGTGGGAAACCAGAAGAGCGACTCTCAAAGCGTGGATCTATGAAAACCTGGCCCTTCAAATGAGCAAGGCTCGATCAAAAGATGGAGCCCCAGAGTATAAGGTATGGAGAACCCGTACTTTACCCAAGCCGAGTCCTCCAAGACGTAGACGACAATGACAGACCAGAGGACGATCACCCAGTACACGCGTCCCAGCTTGGCTCTGGATTTCCTGACAGGCTTCAACCAAGACTTCCTCAATCACCAATCAGCATCGGACCGGTAAGCCAGGTCGAATCCAAATGTTCTTTTGACTAGGCTGCATCGGCACGGAGTCGAAATCTAATCTAATCGGCTGCGCAAGTTTGCACTACGTAGCCACGCAAACATCGGGCCGCATCGAAACGTCGGAATTTTGAATCGTTTCGGATCGGACCGCCCAAAATCGGCATTGAAACCGATCGATCAGGTCGAAATGGATCCTGACCTCGGCCCTCGGGGCATAATTCGGGTCTCTGGCTGCCGTTCGGGACAATCCAGCCAGCCCCAGGACACTAGGCCCGGCCACCGGAACGCATCCAGAGGCAGGACAACCTCCGGGAACCGACAAACACTTTTGGACACGAAAGGCGAAGCCCCTGCAAAATCCAACCAAACCTGTCTCTCGCCGAGAAGCCTTGATCCAGACGCTGGTCCTCAGAACCGTGTGTGGAAACGCCCGCCACCGCGCCTGCAGGAGCGGCATGCGCGCGCCGGAGCGTGCCTCAACCTCGCACACTATCAAGTGCAGCCCTACGATGAAGGCAAGACGAGGACAAACTCGGATGAGAGTAAACCGGAAGTCTCTACAGTCGGAGCGCATACGAGAGGACACGCGACAGGACACGAGACTCCTCAGACGGTAACATGGCCTCCAACAGGCACAGGACACAAGGGGACCCTTAGTCCGAACACGCAGAGGACATGAGAACGAATGGACAGGACACAAGAGTACCCTTGATATGTAAGGTCGACCTGCCAATGCGCGCCGACTGTAATACCCGGCGGGTCTGAACACGTGTCACTCCGCATTCCACATGCACAGCATGCGCGCAACATCTCGGCAGGGAAAGTGTGTGTGTGTGTGTCGACGCCTTCGCTTTCTAAAATGCGTGGATCTTCACAGAACATGAGCGGATGGCTCCACTGCGGTGGGTTCGCGCGGCGTCGGCGAGCACCCAAGTTTTTGACACCGCTTCGAGATCACTCGACCTTGAACCGATCGCAACCCCGATCGCTCCTGATTCAGTTCCGTTGGGCCATGTGGCTCACTGGACCTCGACGACGAAGCAGGAAACCTCTGAGACGGCCGTGAAGCACCCCAGGGCGGCACGCAGCGGCCCCCCAGGACGGCCTCCGAAGGCGTCAGACGGGTCAGTAGAGGCCCAAAAAGGGCGCGAAGAGGTCCCCAAGAAGCCCCCCTAAAACCCCCACGAAGCCTCAGAAGGCCGCAAGAGGGCACCAAGAGGGCCCCCACTCCTTCTCCTCCTCGCCCCCACCTTCGCCTCTCTGGCTTCCCCCCCCCCAGCGCTCCTCCAGGGGGGTCCTCGACAGCTGGGGAAACTCATACTCCAACATGTCGGCCAGACTCAGGCCCAACGGGTTGCCCCATACGTCAGCGTGTCCCAAGGGGGCGATGATTCGCGGCAAGCGTTCTCCATAAATACATTCCGCCAGCGCGCCTCGAGGCACGAAATAGGGTTCCCCCCAGGCTCTCTCATGTGCTCTCTGTTCTCTGTACTCAGGACAAGGGCATTCTAGTATTCTACGGGCTGAAACCTCAAACTCTTTCAAATTTCCTGGGCGCTCCCGCGCGCTCCTAGGCTGCCTCGCGTGATTTTGCCAGAGGCTAGGGGGCCTCAGAACGGGCCCAGCAGACAGCCCGAGAGCGCTCCAAGACGCCCAAGATGGCCCCACGACTGCCAAAGAGGCCCCAAAGAAGCCCACAGAGCGCTCCATGACGGTCCCAAGACGGTTGCATGAGCGGCCCAAGAGGCGCCCAAGATCGCCCAAGAGGGCCCCAAAACGGCCCCAAGAAGGGCCCAAGAGGGGGAACACGAACCAACAATGCGAGCCGTCGTCCGCCCCAAGAGGCCCCCTGGAGACCCAAGAGGCCCCCAAGGTTCCCTAGAGGCCCCACAATGCCCCCAAGAGGCCCCCAAAGAGGCCACGAATCGGCCACCAAGAGGCCTCAAAACTGCCTCCCAGAGGCCCCCGAGAGGCCTCCCACGATATACACACGAACGTCCAAGGAGCCTCTAACCCACAATCCAGGCAGGCACGGTGGCGGGATTGGCCGAAGGCCACTATACGTGTGTGTGTGTGTGTGTGCTACGTATGTGCACATGTGTGTATATCGGAGGTTGGGGGGTGAGATCGCAGTGAAACGGAGCCCCCCCACCGGGAAATCGGTTTCGGTTTCGTGTCGTGCGTGCGGGCGAGGCGAAGCTGCGCGTGATCCTCCTGTAGCTAGGCCGAAGACAAAGCGAAAGTCTGTTGCCCGTACGGAGGCCGGGAGGTGTCCCAGTTGGGCCAGGCGGTGTCCCGGGTGTCCCGGGTGTCAGTAGGATCGAAAGTCCGTTTCCCGTCCGCCGGTGGCCGGGAGGTGTCCCAGTTGGGCCAGGCGGTGTCCCGGGTGTCCCGGGCGTCCTGGCGCTTACACATGTCGCCGATTTCATAATTCACTTGTTTCGGCGCCTGCGGCGGGCTTTTTTATCCAATCCAGCTTAGCATATCCAATCAATGTTGTCCAGTCCAATCCATCTTATCTTATCCAACCCATATTGTCCCATCTTACCTTACCCCACCAAATCCAATCCACCCAACCTAATCCACCAACTCATTTGTTCATACGAGAGAGACCCATCCCAACCCAATCAGAGAGAGACACAGAGAGAGAGAGACGGAGAGAAAGAGAGAGATAAGATCAAGGTGACAGGCTGGAGGTCAGTCAAGGTGGGCATTTGTTTTTAATCCCCCCAACCTCCTTATCGCCCGCATTGCGTCGCATAGGTAAGGACATCGGAAGTTGGGGGTTGAGATCGCAGTGAAGTGGAGACCCCCGACCAGGAGATCGGTTTCGGTTTCGTGGTTGTGTCGCGCGTGCGGGCAAGGCGAAGCTGCGCGTGATCCTCCTGTAGCTAGGCCGAAGACAAAGCGAAAGTCTGTTGCCCGTACCCCGTACGGTGGCCGGGAGGTGTCCCGGTTGGGTCAGGCGGTGTCCCAGGTGTCCCGGGTGTCAGTAGGATCGAAAGTCCGTTTCCCGTCCGCCGGTGGCCGGGAGGTGCCCCAAGTGGGCCGGGCGGTGTGCCGGGTGTCCCAGGTGTCCCGGGCGTCCTGGCGCTAACGCATGTCGCTAATGTCAGAATTCATTTGTTTGGGCGCCTGCGGCGGGCTTTCTTATCCGATCCAGCTTATCTTATCCAATCCATCTTGTCCAATCCAATCCATCATATCTTATCCAACCCATCTTGTCCAATCTCATCTTATCCCACACAATCCAATCCACCCAACCCAATCCATCAATTATTTTGTTTCTGCGCCTGAGGCAAGCCACTCCAATACATCTTATATTATGCAATCCATTTCTTCCAATACAGCCATCTTATCTTATCCAATCCATCTTATCCCATCCAATCCAATCCACCCAACCCAATCCATCAATTTATTTTTGTCGGCGCCTGCGGCGGGCTTTCTTATCCAACCCAGCATATCTTATCCAATCCATCGTCCCATCCAATCCATCTTATCTGTTCCAACCCATCTTGTCCCATCTTATCTTATCCCACCCAATCCAATCCATCCAACCCAGTCCACATAGGTTGGTCGACGGATAGGTAGATAGTGGGATCTCGTCGTCATCGCGATCATCATTGTGGTGGAGGTAGACTCTGACCGAGGGAGAGAGAGGGAGAGAGAGAGAGGGCGAGAAAGAGAGAGACACAGAGAGTGAGAGAGAGAGAGTGACAGAGAGAAAGAGAGAGAGAGAGAGAGATGAGATCAAGGTGACAGGCTGGAGGTCAGTCAGGGTGGGCATATGATCTCAATCCCCCCCTACCTCCTTCTCGCCCGCAGGGCCGTCGTATAGGCATCGGTATTTTCATGTACATATACGATGTATGTCACCCGACGCTCCCCTTGGAGCACTGAACCTCGGCCCCCGCAGAAATACCGACGGGGGGGGGGGTATCACAACCTCAAGACGGGACCGCCCACGGTCGGACTGGGATAGCTTCAGGCATGCACATGTCGCCCCCGGCTCCCCACGACGGCCCCCGAGGACCCCCCAGTTTCTCCCATGGCAGTCCCAAACCCCCGGAGCTTTCACAGAAAATCAAGAATCTCCTGGCCACCCTGGAAAAGTAGCCCACGGTTGCTTCCCGCTGCCCTCTGGGCATCCCGGACCGGGCGCATCCCATGGCCCACGGGGCCCCAAGAGAAGGCCTAGAGCGAGCGGACCCCCACAGACGGCCCCGAGACGACCCGAGAAGGGCCCAAGACGGCGACAAGGCCGCCCAAGCCTGGCCCAATGTCCCCGCAGGAGCCTCCGGGACGGCCCCGGCACGGCCATCCGATTGATGCCTCCACGACTCCCCAAACGGCCCAGATTCCCCTTCATCTTCAAGGCAATACACTGCATGAACAGAAACTTTCGGAGGTCCACCCTGATTTCTTGGATCGGCGCTGGACTCCGCTTCCTGGCGCGCGGAGCGCACCGGGGGTGGCGCACGAGGCACCGCTAGGGGGTCCGGCGCCGACAAGAGATCAGCGCGGACCTCCGAAAATGTATGTTTATGTTGTTCGTGGCTTCGTGGGAGGAGGAGGAGGAGGAGGAGGAGGAGGAGGAGGAGGAGGAGGAGGAGGAGGGGGGAGGAGAGAAGGAGGATGATGAGGAGGACGAGGAGGAGGAGGAGGAGGAGGAGAGGAGGAGGGGGAGGAGGGGAGGAGGAGAAGAAGAGGAGGAGGAGGAGGACGAGAGGAGGAGGAGGAGGGGGAGGAGGGGGAGGAGGAGAAGGAGGGAGGAGGAGGAGGAGGGGGAGGAGGAGGAGCAGGAGGCACAGGGCCTGTACGCACCGCCTCCAGGAGCCGCCCCAGGCTCGACAGCGGGAAGATCTTCTCTCTACCGACAGTGTGCCTGCAGACGCCATGGCGAAGAAATGTGCTTGGAAGAGTAGCGGTTCTTCGGGCAGCAGC